GCGGCCAGGCGGCGTCTCAGGATGGGCATCAACGAGGTCACCAAGTTCCTGGAGTCTAGAGCCGCCGCCGCCGCTGCTTCTCCGAAGACTCCCTCCTCTACCTCACGCGGAGGCTCGATCAACCGGCAAGGCATCCCGAAAGCGTCCGGGAAGTGGGAGAGCGCGCAGGCCGGGGCGGGAGCGGGGGCGGGGGCAAGGACAAGTCTTGTCGCACCCGCGCCTCCTCACATCCCACCTGCGATCGTGCTCATCTGCAGGGATGTGAGGCCCGCGAGGCTGGCGGAGCACGTCCACGCCTTGGTTGCTCTGACCGGTAAGCCTCTGGCTCACTTGTAGTTGTGGTTCTCGGTCTACACGTTTGTATTTTTTTTCTGCGATGATGCACAGGAAAGAGAACTCACGTCCGCTCGAAACAGAGGTCCCAAGAAGGTACCGTGGTCGGTAGCCCACGGTTTTGATCACCTTTGTTCTTTTTAAACCATGCAGCTGTCTGCTGCACACGCGCGCACAAGGTTGCGTTGGTTTGTATCCGCCTTGTGCCCGGGTCTGTCTTGTCTCTCTCTATGTCTCGCTCTCTCTTTCGGCAGAAAAGCCTCACCCGTTCCCGCTCGTTTGCGGTGCATCTCCAAAGGGCGTATGTGTTTCGAAAGGGCACACAACATGTGTATTCACGACGCACAACTTTTCTTGATGCTCTTCTCCAGCTGGCCACCATTTTTGTGTCCCGTCGCTCGCCCTCTCTCTCGCGCCTGTGTGTTCTCTCGCTCCTAATCTTTCCACCTGACCGATGACCATCCAGCGACTCCTTACCTAGTTTTGTCGGAGCCAAGCAGCAGCCTCGGGGGGGTGTTCGGCTGCAAGACCATGGCAGCTCTAGCCATCTGCCCCGCCCGAAACCCACCGCCGTCGCAGACTTCGTCTATTTCGCCGCCGCCTAGCTCTTCGACGGGTACCCCCGGGCCGGAGAGGGGCGAAGAAGAAGAACGCAAGCCCGCCCCAAGAGCCCGAGGAACTACAGTGGCGACGGGCGAGGGAGAGGGAGAGGAGAATGATGTGGAGCGGAGAGAGGGCTGCAGTGGAGGAGGGGAAGAGGAGGGAGAGGGGAGAGAGGGCTGCAGTGGGGGGG